TCCTCAACTTCTGTGGGAGCCCAGCTGCCCCTTGGGTTCAGACGCTGGTTTATATAGGATAACCAGGAAGCCATGTTGTGAAGATGTTGTGAAGAGAGATGTTGTGAAGTAGATGAGGGGCTGGCTGTTCCTAGGTGAAGTGGCCCTCTGTGATCTCACTGCTTTGGCTGTCGCTAGGTGAAGTGGTGCTTTGTGATATTACTGGATTGACTGTGGCTGGGTGAAGTGGCCCTTCATGATGTCACTGGATTGGCTGTTCTTGGGTGAAGTGGCCCTCTGGGATGTCATGGGTAAAGAAATGTGATGTATATAAGGGGAAGGGAGGAAGAAAAGAGAGCCATGTTGCCAGGGAGACATTGTGAGTTAGGTGAGGAGTTGGCTGTATCTAGGTGAAGTGGCTCCGTGGGATCTCACTGGGTTGGCTATTGCTGGGTGAAGTGGCCCTCTGAGACGTCATGGGAAAATAAAGATGACATGGGCATGAGGGGATTTGGCATTGACCTTCCCCAGAATGACAGTCTTGGTATTTCTGTTTCGAAAGAACAATTTATACTTTTTTATAGAACCGAATCCTACGGCAACTACGTTTCTTTTTATGCCAACGGAGGGATGGTAAGGACGTTCCTAACTTTCCAACTGTTGGGCCTCTCCGAAGGAGGGAACATATATAATACACTATTGAATGTTACATCCCTTCTAAGAACTTCACCACATGTTGCAAACCACGCCGTGCATTGGGAAATTCGAGGAACCCATAGTCGATTGTGAATGTCATTCCATGGATGCCGTCCTCAATGTGGTGCCACGTTACCGGCACGCCGTTGCCTTCTAGGCGCTTTCGGTACAAAAGCCCATCGTCGCGGAGGATGTCGTACTCCGACGTTACGAGGAGCGTCTCCGGGAGCTGGCGAATGATGTCGTCTTCGGCTAAAAGCGGCGAATAGGCAGGATCAAAGCCTTTCTTCAACATTTTGTACTGCTCGTTGGAAAACGGAGCAGGTTCCACTGACTGGTAGCCCCGAACCTTGAATTCATCCGGAACGTGGTCCCCGCTCACCCACTTTCTGTATTTCACCCGCAAATCCTCTGGAATGTAGCTTCCCTTCATCATTACTTCCACGTCAATGGCTTTCCCGATCAGATACGTTGAGCCGTGGTTGACGGTGAATTTCCGAAACAAGAGGGGAATCGAATGGTTCTGCTGATAAGATGGCAAATTGAAATCCACTCCTTGGAGAAATGGGTACAAGAGGACCTGAGCCCGGAGCTTGGGGAGGAACCCCTTTCTAACCAGGATCTGGCACACGGCTGCGGAAAACGAGGCCCCGCTGCTTTCTCCGCCGATGCTGATACGGTTCGGATCCACTCCGTAATCCTCCGCGTTCCTCAAAAAGTGCTCGGTAGCGATGCAGCAGTCCTGGATTTGGGCTGGGTACGGATGCTCCGGGGCGAGGCGGAAACTGAAACGTTAAGCAAGAAACGATAGAAATTCCTAAACTTAGACAACACTGTGTATTTTATTTATTTGTTTATATATTTATTTATATCCCTATTAGACATGGTTAGTAGGCTTGGGTAACAACGGAAAAATTTGGTTCTAAACTCGTTTCGTTTGTAGGGGGCGATGGTGTTTCGTTTTTTTTTTTGGACTTCCGAAATTGTCCTTTTCAAAATTTCAAAATTTACGAAATTTCGTAAATTTCGAATCGATTCATTAATGGCGACATGATTGCGCAATATGCTAAAAAAAAACCCTCCAAATGGGATAGGGGGAACTTCTGAAGCTTCCCTCTCCCTATGTTGTTGACTGTTGGTGTGATAAAACAAACAATATATATATATTATATTATATATATATTATATTATTATATATATTATATTATTATTATATATAATATATTATATCTAATATAATATATATGTATATTATATTATATTGTTTTATATGTATTATAATATATAATAATCATATATATTATATTATTAATATATTATTATAATATATATTATATAATTATATTATATATATTATATATATTAAGAACTTCTGAAGCTTCCCTCTGTTGACTGTTGGTGTGATGAAACAAACAACAACTATAAAACTTGCACCAGACATACAGAAATAATTACTAAATAATTACTAAATAATTACGAAATGAATTGAAAAAATTGTTTCGAATATAATTTACTCCTCACACTATTCCTGCATGGCTCAATATTGGACCGTAAGCTAATTTAAATACGAATTAATAACGAATTATGAAATTAACGAACGAAACCGCCCAAGCCTACTATTAATATGTGGTCCAGATACACTTCCAGACATTCATTATTCGGAATAAAATTGGAAAGATTTCCTTTTTGAAGCGATTTTGAAGTTTTTAAGAAAATCCGGAAGTACTTTTTCGCCATTTTTTTAACGAGTCGGAAATGATTCAATGATTTAGCTTCCCCCTTATAACTCGCTTCTGTGACTTTAAAACTGGCTGGCTTTAATGGCTTGAGGAAGAAGCGGAGCAAATCCATGCTTCTCCCTTATAACTCGCTTGAAGCATGGATTTGCTCCGCTTCTTCCTCAAGCCATTAAAGCCAGCCAGTTTTAAAGTCACAGAAGCGAGTTATAACCCATTCCTGGAGTAAAAAAATTACTTTCAAAGTAGAGACCATGCAATGGGTATGGGACAGAGACTGTGCCGGTCTCCATCACGGATCACCTTCGATGCCAGCTTGACCAGGGCGGGTCGGCGCTGCTTGTGTTATTGGATCTCACAGCAAGCATTTGACACAGTTGACCACAATCTTTTGACCCACCGCCTTGCTGTTGCTGGAGTCAGGGGGACAGCTTTAAACTGGCTGTCCTCCTTTCTTCACAACCGTGGACAGCGAGTGGAGAGGGGAGGCCTGGTCTCTGAGAGGTCCCCTCTATCTTGTGAGGTTCCTCAGGGGGCCATTCTCTCCCCTCTGTTGTTTAACATCTATATGCGACCACTTGCTCAGCTGGTTCGAGGTTTTGGGCTGGAGTGTGACCAGTACGTTGATGACACTCAGCTGGTGCTGAGGATGGAGGGCAGACCAGACTCTGTACCCATTACTGGATGGTTGCGTGCCAGCAGGTTGAGGGTGAATCCAGCAAAGACGGAGATCCTATGGCTGGGTCAACCGGGCAGTGGGGATATCCAGCTGCCTACCCTGGATGGTGAGGCGCTACGCCCGTCATCATTGGTAAAGAGTCTGGGAGTCCTTTTGGACCCTCTGCTGACGATGGAGGCCCAGGTCTCCGCCGTGAGCAGAACCACCTTTTTTCATCTGCGGCAGGCTAGATGGCTGGCCCCCTCCCTGTCCAGGGACGACCTAGCTACGGTGATCCAGGCCATGGTCATCTCAAGACTGGACTACTGTAAAGCCCTCTACATTGGCCTTCCTCTGTCGGTGATCCGGAAGCTCAAGTTGGTACAAAATGCAGCTGCTCGGCTTCTTGCGGGAATTCCGATGAGAAGCCACATAACACCAATCTTACTACAGCTGCATTGATTACCAATTGAGCACCGGATCACTTTCAAAGGGATGGTACTCACCTTTAAGGCCTTGCATGGTCTGGAGCCGATGTACCTGAGGGACCGCCTCACCCCCTACCAACCCCAGAGATCCCTCCGTTCTGAGGACCAAGATCTATTGGAAGTCCCCAGTGTCAAGACCTTGCGTCTAACAGCAACCAGACGCAGAGCCTTCACAGCAGTGGCACCATCACTCTGGAATACTCTGCCACCTGAAGTCCGTGCCTTGCGGGACTTACCAGCTTTCCGCAGGGCATGTAAGACATACCTGTTTCGACAGGCTTTTAATGTTTGATATTGCTGTTTTTAAATTGTTTTAAATTGCTTTTAAATTTTGTTAGATTTTAGCTATTCTTGTAAGCCACTCCGAGCCCCAGGGGAGTGGCGGCATATAAGTTCAAATAATAAATAAATAAATAAACGAAACAGGAAGTAACACTTTCAAACTATTAAAGATTCGGAAGTCTCGGAAGGTTCGAAAAGTTTTTTTTCTGTGAAAATAGGAAAAAATCAAACCACCGGCGCCCACTACATCCAAAACGAGTTTTGAACCAATATTTTTGTTGGATCAAACAAGCCTATTCCCTATTCCTCAAATTTCCCCATTGCCGCTAATGGAAAATCTTAACAAAACAATTACGAAGCTTTGGAGATTCGGATTAACAAAATGAAACGAAATGAAACGAAACGGGACCCCCTCCGAATCTGTACCAAGCGAATCTGGGCCATCCGGATCTCTGAAATGCATTACTAATTGGATTTCAGCCATTTTGCAAATTTTAATTTAGCTTCAAGCGAGTTATAAGGGAGAAGCATGGATTTGCTCCGCTTCTTCCTCAAGCCATTAAAGACAGCCAGTTTTACAGTCACAGAAGCGAGTTATAAGGGAGAAGCATTTCCGACTCACTTCATAAGTCGTTTTAAAAAACGGCGAAAAAGCTTCGAAATGGCAAAGGACTTCCGGGTTTTCTTAAAAACTTCAAAATCACTTCAAAAAGGAAATATTTTCGACTTTATTCCGAATAACAAAAGTCAACTACAAAATTGGCACGCTGAACATCAATTTTCCTATAATGCCGAATTTTTGCAATAATCTGTTGAACGTTGAGTGTAAGCTAGAGATTTTCCCGACTTCATCTCATCCTGTCTTATGAACCAATAAGTGCTTATTGAGAGAGCAGGCATTCTGTTTTCTGCTCCAACAAACTGTTGATAGTGGGATATATCAACCGTTTGTTGGAACAGAACACAGAAAGGCTACGAGTGTGTTACACTTCTTGTCCCGAATCCTACTTGTCCTGTTTCTAAGCAACTCAAGTGAAATGACTTACCCAATATTAACAACCACGGTATTACTTTCTCGGGCGATATAACGGCTCATCCTTTCGTACGCCTCTGAAAAACAAATCGTATTATTCGTTGCATTCCCAGAGGCGGCCCTAGGTAATTTTCAACGGTAAGTAAACAGTATTTTGGCGCCCCCCCCCCAACCAATCATTGATATGTATTTTCTGTTTTTCGTGGGAGTTCTGTGTGCCATATTTGGTTCAATTCCATCATTGGTGGAGTTCAGAATGCTCTTTGATTGTAGGTGAACTATACATCCCAGCCACTACAGTTGCCGCACTTCCTCCCTTGCCTGGCCCCCTTTGGGTATGGAGGCGTGCCTGAAGACCCCGGCGTGTGCACCAAAAGTCACCTCTTCTCCTGACTTTCTCCTCAGCCATTGGGACCAAGAGAGAGAGAGAGAGAGAGAGGTGGAGATGCCACCTTTCCTGAAGGTAGGCGCAAAAACAAAGGAGGGAGCGGAGGTGGGAGATACCTCCAGCCGGAGGGGCTCTCTCTCTCTCTCTCTCTTGGTCCCAATGGCTGAAGAGAAAGTCAGGAGAAGAGGCGACTTTTGGTGCGCACGCTGGGGTCTTCAGACACGCCTCTGGACCCGAAGCGGGCCAGGTGCAGCAGCTCCGCCCCTTGGCCCACCCGTGGATTGGGGAGAGGAGAGGAGGCGGGTGGAGCACGGGGATCGGGAAAGAGAGCCGGTCATGGGGAAGGGATCGAACGCGGAGAACGATTGAGCGCCGGCTCTGCTCGCGCACCCGGTGGCCGGGTGGAGCAGGAACGAGAGGGGCTAGGCGGGGCTCAAGGGCCCGGCCCCTTTGGGAAGAGGATCGCCCGGCAGCGAGGCAAGAAAGCCGAGGCTCCCCCCGGACTGCTAGGGCTGTTGTGAGCTGAGGGAGCGCTCCTCAAGTGGCGGTCGAGGGGCATTTACAGAGCTGCCTCTGCGCCCCTGGCAAAAAAAAGGGGTTCTGCGACCGCTTACTTCGCGTAATGGACGAGCCGCCCCTGTGCATTCCATAACTGTTTCATAAGGCAGTTTGCCAATCATTGATCCGTCAATCTTATCCTCGTAGCCTTCCCGTCCGCACTGCTGCTGTTCCTTAATTTTTTTCAATTTTTATTTATAGCGCATTTGCACAATAACACCATTTAAAAAACCCCAAAGAAAGTGAATCTATATAAATAAAAAAGTAATAGTTTGTGGGATTAGCATAACTCAAAAACCACTGGACGAATTGACACCAAATTTGGACACAAGACACCTAACAACCCAATGTATGTTCTTCACTCAAAAAAATGATTTTGTCATTTGGGAGTTGTAGTTGCTGGGATTTATAGTTCACCTACAATCTATATAAATAAAAATGTAATGTTCGTTTGTGGGATTAGCATAACTCAAAAACCACTGGATGAATTCACACCAAATTTGGACACAAGACACCTAACAACCCAATGTATGCCCTTCACTCAAAAAATTGATTTTGTCATTTGAGAGTTGTTGTTGCTGGGATTTATAGTTCACCCACAATCAAAGAGCATTCTGAACCCCACCAACGAATTGAACCAAACTTGGCACACAGTTCTCCCATGACCAACAGAAAATACTGAAAGGGTTTGGTGGGCAGTGTCCTTTGGTTTTGGAGTTGTAGTTCACCTACATCCAAGCAGCACTGTGGACTCAAACAATGATGGATCTGCACCTAACTCTACATGAATACTCAATAGGCCCAAATATAAACACTGGTGTAGTTTGGGGGAAATAGAATCTTGACATTTGGGAGTTGTAGTTGCTGGGATTTATAGTTCACCTACAATCACAGAGCATTCTGAACCCCACCAACGATAGAATTGGGCCAAACCTCCCACACAAAACCCCCATGTGGGCCACAGCAATGTGTGGCAGGGGACGGCTAATATATATATATATATATATATATATATATATATATATATATATATGAATGTTACTCCTGACATTACTTTTCTGTTGGGATGCTGGCCTAGAAGTGGAATGGACCCATCACAGGAAAGTAAGTGACAGCGATATTGCGAGATTGCGAGACATCAAAGGTATTGAACCCATTAATATTTAGGAAGTGGTGATTCATGTTGGGTAGTTCCATTACTGTTGGGATGCGGGCCTAGACTATTAATGGGTTCAATAACTTTGATGTCTTGTAGTCTCGCAATATTGCTGTCACTTACTTTCCTACGATGTGACTGGTGATTCATTTGGGGTAGTTCCATTACTGTTGGGATTCTGGCCTAGAAGTGGAATGGACCCATTCTATGAAAGTAGTCAACGGGTATATTACGAGATTGCGAGGCATCAAAGGTATTTAATGCCTCGCAATCTCATAACATACCCCTTGCCTACTTACGAGTCCTCCGGGAGATGGTAGCGGAGTATAAATAAAGGTTTATTTATTTATTATTATTATTATTGAACCCATTAATAGTTAGGGACTGGTGATTCATGTTGGGTAGTTCCATTACTGTTGGGATGCTGGTCTAGACTATTAATGGGTTCAATACTTTTGATGCCTCGTAATCTCGCAATATTGCTGTCACTTACTTTCATACGATGGGACTGGTGATTCATGTTGGGTAGTTCCATGTTGGGATGCTGTCTGAGAGGTGAAATGGACCCATTCTGTGAAAGTAGGCAACGGGTATATTGCGAGATTGCGAGGCATCAAAGGTATTTAATGCCTCGCAATCTCGTAATATATCCGTTGCCTACTTACGAGTCGTCCTGGAGATGGTAGCGGGGTATAAATAAAGGTTTATTTATTATTATTATTATTATTATTATTATTATTATTATTGAACCCATTAATAGTTAGGGACTGGTGATTCATGTTGGGTAGTTCCATTACTGTTGGGATGCTGGTCTAGACTATTAATGGGTTCAATACCTTTGATGCCTCGTAATCTCGCAATATTGCTGTCACTTACTTTCCTACGATGTGACTGGTGATTCATGTGGGGTAGTTCCATTACTCTTGGGATTCTGGCCTAGAAGTGGAATGGACCCATCCTATGAAAGTAGGCAACGGGTATATTACGAGATTGCGAGGCATCAAAGGTATTTAATGCCTCTCAATATCGTAATATATCCGTTGCCTACTTACGAGTCATCCGGGAGATGGTAGCGGGGTATAAATAAAGGTTTAATTATTATTATTATTATTATTATTATTATTATTATTATTATTGAACCCATTAATAGTTAGGGACTAGTGATTCATGTTGGGTAGTTCCATTACTGTTGGGATGCTGGCCTAGACTATTAATGGGTTCAATACCTTTGATGCCTCGTAATCTCGCAATATTGCTGTCACTTACTTTCATACAATGGGACTGGTGATTCATGTTGGGTAGTTCCATGTTGGGATTCTGGCCTAGAAGTGGAATGGACCCATCCTATGAAGGTATTTAATGCCTCGCAATCTCGTAATATACCTGTTGCCTACTTATGAGTCCTCCGGGAGAAGGTTTTATTATTATTATTATTATTATTATTATTATTATTATTATTATTATTATTAATCCTATGAAAATAGGTAATGGTATATTGCGAAATTGCGAGACATCGAAGGTATTTAACCAATTAATAGCTATGGACATGTGATTCATGAGTCCCATTCCTGTCTATTCCAGACAGGAATAGAAGTGGAATGGACTCACCATATGAAAGTAGGCATCTAATGTATTTAACCCATTACTAGCCAGAAGGCTTGGGCGGTTTCGTTCGTTAATTTCGTAATTCGTTTTAATTCGTATTTAAATTAGCTTACGATCCAATATTGAGCCATGCAGGAACAGTGTGAGGAGTAGATTAGATTCGAAACAATTTTTTCAATTTATTTCGTAATTATTTCGTAATTATTTCGTTATTATTTCGTTATTATTTTGTAATAATTTTCGCATGTCTGGTTGTTGTTTATTTATAGTTGTTGTTTGTTTTATCACACCAACAGTCAACAACAGAGGGAGAGGGAAGCTTCAGAAGCTCCCCCTGTCCCATTTGGAGGTTTTTTTAGCATATTGCGCAATCGCGTCCGCCATTAACGAATCGATTCGTAATTATATGAAATTTCGTAAATTTCGAAATTTCTAAAAGGAAAATTTCGGAATTCTTTAAAAAAACGAAACGCGAAGGACCCCTAAAAACGAAACGAGTTTAGAAACAAAATTTTCTGTTGTTACCCAAACCTACTAACCAGGGATCAGTGATCCGTGTTGGGGAGTCCCATTACTGTTGGGATGCTGGCATGGAAGTGGAATGAAGGTGACAGGAATAATACGAGATTGCGAGACATCAAAGGTATTTGATCCATTAATAGCTAGGGACCGGTGTTTCATGTTGGGGAGTCAGACCCACAGTGGGATGTACATGGCGTCATGTAACAGGGACCATCGCCAAAAGTGATGGTCCAAATGCAATACCTCGCGTAATAAAGTCCAAAGTGTTACAACGGTAGGTTGTCAGCTCCTTTCACAGAACTTACGGATACTTCCGCACAGCCCAAACCCTCCAGGAATGACCACCATTCCTCTCGCGTTCCCAGCAGGCAGTGTTCGGGGCCAATAGACCCTCACGTTCACCCCATCGAAATCCAGATCTTTCGTAACCACCGCCGAACTCTTCCTCGGAGGGATGCCTTTGAAGAAGAACCGCCAGACTTCGTAACGGTGACAGAGGCCCAGTTTTTCCACCAACACCGACTGTTTAGAAGAAAGCAAACCAAAGATTTCAACATACGGCACAGTCCGTTACTATTTATTGTTTACGGTGACCCTAGAGCAAATCTCTCATAGCACTTTCGTGGCAGGATTTGTTCAGAGGGGAGAGGTCTTTGTTCACCTTTGACACAGAGAGTGTGTGACTTGCCCAGAGTCAAGAGTGTTGTTGTTGTTGCTGTTATTATTATTATTATTATTATTATTATTATTATTATTATGTACACGCTTTGCTGTGGCCAATCTTCCCTCGCTCTTTGTCTCCTTCTTTCTTTGGGGGGAGATGTAGTGCATGCACATACACACAGACGCACACACACATATGGGTGTGGATAATATGGTAATGTCTATGTTAAAAGGAAGTTGTGGAGAATGCCTACATGGATGTTAATTTTACTATATTTCCTCAACTCTCCCCTCAAATACACACAGTCACGCGGGAAATAAGTGGCTCTGCTGGAGTGCATGTCTTGAGGGGTTATTGTGGGGATGATCTTGCATGTGCATTAATTCCACTATATTTTCACAACTCCACACACCCATACGCACTCACTGTTGCTCTGCCAACATGTGTATGTTGCCAAGTTGTAAAAGATAGATAGATAGAATGATTTTCAATTCATATAGCAGTTCAAAAACATGCAAATGTGAGTAGAGCAATAGGTAGCTTGGGTGGTTTCGTTTGTTAATTTCGTAATTCGTTATTAATTCGTATTTAAATTAGCTTACGATCCAATATTGAGCCATGCGAATAGTGTGAGGAGTAATTAAGAATCGAAACAATTTTCCCAATTTTCGTAATTATTTCGTAATTTTTTCGTAATATAATATAATAATATATAATATATAATACAATATATTATAATAATATAATATACAATAATATAATACAATAATATTATATTCCTTCCCTTCTGTCCTTCCGAAAGAGCCTGAAGACCTGGCTATTTGAGAAGGCATTCAACTGAGCGCTACGGCAACTGGTAATTGACAACTGGAACGGAATACGGATTACGATATTGGTTATGATTCTATGATGTGACGGAGCAGATTATTTAGTGTAACTAGATTATAGTGTATTATTGTTGTATTGATTTCCTGTTTTGCCCTTTTGTAAACTGTTTTTATATGTTGTGCACCGCCGCGAGTCGCCCTAGGGCTGAGAGCGGCGGTCAATAAATGCAGTAAAATAAATAAATAAATAATATAATATAATATAATATAATATAATATAATATAATATAATATAATATAATATATAATAATATAATATATAATAATATTTTCGTTTTATATCACATCACACATACTCTAGTAGCCTTGGCTAGGCCTGTTTGATCAAGAAAAAATTTGTTTCTAAAATCGATTTGTAATTGGGGTGTTTTTTTGTTTCGATATTTAAAATAATTACAAAACTTTCCCAAAAAAAGTTTTGGTATTTACGAAATTTCGTAAATATTAACGAATTTTTAGAATATTTTTTGTATTTTTTAAGAATAATATTAAAATAATATTAAAAAATATTTTAAAATGGAAAATTAACCAAAAAATGGCCCAAATGTGGACCAAACACAGGCAGGAGACAGCAAATGAGAGCACACACCAACAGAAGAGTCTTTTCTTTTTTAGAATATTTTTTAAGAATAATATTAAAATAATATTAAAAAATAATATTAAAATAATATTAAAAATTAATATTAAAATAATATTAAAAAATATTTTAAAATGGAAAATTAACCAAAAAATGATCAAACACAGGCAGGATACAGCAAATGAGAGCACACACCAACAGAAGAGTCTTTTCTTTTTTAGAATATTTTTTAAGAATAATATTAAAATAATATTAAAAATAATATTAAAAATAATATTAAAAAATATTTTAAAATGGAAAATTAACCAAAAAATGGCCCAAATGTGGACCAAACACAGGCAGGAGACAGCAAATGAAGCAAGCAGCACTCACAGCAGCAAGGAATGAATCCAATCCCAGTTCGTTGCTAGCAGGCAGCCATTGCCAAGCCAACCCAATGCAAACTCCCTCGCCCTCGCCTCTGCACCAAGCTACGGGCCGCGCGGAGCCGCTTTGAAAGGGCTCGCCGGCCAATCAAAAAAGAGACAGCCACGGACCCATGGTGCACTGCTTGGGAGCGCCGGATTGGCTCCCATGCACCAGCACTCCAGCAGCCTCCACCCCATTAACGAAACGAGCGGAGGCTCGTTAAAACTATGGGGGCTGCTGGTTCGATATTTATAAACCCTTCCGGGTTTGGAAATATGTTTCGATATCGCTTCGGAAATGGTAAAATTAACGAATTATTAACGAATTAACGAATTAACGAACGAAACCGCACAGGCCTATTGGCTACACATATATAATTTAATATAATATTAATATTAATATAATAATATATAATATAAAATATATAATATAATAATATAACAATATATAATATAATAATAATATTATAATATATATATATAATATAATAATAATAAATATAATATACAAAATAATAATAATATAATAAATAATATATAATAATATATAATATAATATATAATATATAATATACATATAATAATATAAATAATATAATATTATTATATTATAATATAAATATAATATATAATATAATAATATTATAATAATATAAATATAAATAATAATATATATAATAATATTATATAATATATATAATATAATATAATAAATATAAAATAATAGAATATAATAATATTATAATATAATATACAACAATATAATATAATAATATAATAATATAATATAATATAATAATATAATATAATATAGTTGTTGTTTGTTTTATCACACCAACAGTCAACAACAGAGGGATAGGGAAGCTTCAGAAGTTCCCCCTGTCCCATTTGGAGGTTTTTTTAGCATATTGCGCAATCGCGTCCGCCATTAACGAATCGATTCGTAATTTTACGAAATTTCGTATATTTTGAACTTTTTTAAAGGAAAATTTCGGAAACGCAAGGGCCCCCCCAAAAACGAAACGAGTTTAGAACCAAATTTTTCCGTTGTTACCCAAGCCTATGAGCTACCATGTCAGTCCTAGCTCCTGCCAACCTAGCAGTTCAAAAACAGAGTGCAAATATGAGTAAATAAATCGGTTCCGCCTTGACGGGAAAAGGCAAAGAAATGCTCCAAGGAATCTCTCTGGCCACACAACCAGGAGGTGACAACACAAGGCTCTTGGGCTGAAAATAGAGAAAACACCTCCCCAGAGACAGAGATGAGCACCGCCTGCAGAAGCCAGAAAGGAGAAGCCTTTGCCTTTGTTTGTGTTTGTGTGTCTACATTGTAAAAGCGTTGAATGTTTGCCTATGTATGTAAATGCTGCAATCTGCTCTGAGTCCCCTGGGGAAGAAGAGCGGAATATAAATAAATATAAATAAATATTATTATTATTATTATTTCTAAGACTGGATGGCCATCTGTTGGGAGTGATTTGATTGTGTTTTTCCTGCATGGTAGAATAAATCGGGTTAAACTGGATGGCCCTGGGGCTCTTCCAATAAAATACTATGTAGGTGGGTTAAATTTGCTCTTCCTTTTAAATATTTTAATTTTAAATATTTTAAATATTTAAATATTTATTTAAATATTTAAATATTTAAATAAATATTTAAATATTTAAATAAATATTTAAATATTTAAATATTTAATTTTTTTTCACACTGTGTGAATTACTTCACCCAAATGTTCTCCATTCCTCTGGCACTGGCCCAGCCCATGCCTGATACACACACACACACACACACACACACACACACACACACCACACTATATATCCTCTCCCCCAACACCAACTGGGAACCCCTCAATAATCTATATATATAAAAATGTTCTGTTCGTTTTGAGTGACATCATAACTCAAAATCCACTGGACGAATCGCCACCAAATTTGGCCACAAGACACCTACTAACCCAAGGAGTGACCATCACTAAAAAAAATGATTTTGTCATTTGGGAGTTGTAGTTGCTGGGATTTATAGTTCACCTACAATCAAAGAGGGTTGCTTGCCACAGATGCACCACAGATGCCACAGGTGCACCTCTGACAATTCTTGCCACAGATGCAGGCAAAACTTCAGGAGAGAATGCTTCTATTATTTATTTATTTATTTATTTATGACATTTATATGCTGCCCTTCTCACCCCGAAGGGGACTCAGAGCGGCTTGCAAGATACACACACACATAATATATATTATATTACAATATCAGCATTACATACTACTACTAGCCACATGTCGCTATGGCCCAGACTGTGTATATGTGTTTTGTGTGGGTATATGTGTGTGTATACTTTTGTGTATATGTGTATATATTACTAGCATAGTACAATATCAGCATTATATACTACTACTAGCCGTCCCCTGCCACGCGTTGCTGTGGCCCACTCTGTGTATATGTGTTTTGTGTGGGTATATGTGTGTGTATATTTTTGTGTATATGTGTATATATGTGTTTGTATTCTAGAACCCGAAAAACCTACAACACTGTATCCTGTGTTTTTTTTAAATTGTCAGAAGTGACTTGAGAACATACTGCAAGTTGCTCCTGGTGTGAGAGAGTCGGCCATTTACAGAGATGTGGCCCAGGATGTGTTGCCATCCTATGGGAGGCTTCTCTCATGTCTCTGCGTGGGAAGCTGGGGCTTACAGATGGGAGCTTACCTCATCTTGTGGATTCGAACCACCGACTTCAGGTCAGCATTTCTAAGCAATTTGGACAATCCTCACGTTGGAAATAGATCAAGAGAAGTGGAAAGGAAAACCATAACAAAAACTCAGAGCACTTACCAATCGACGTCCGAAATGCATGCAGACTGTAAGGATGCGTAGTTTCACATTCGGATTAATTTCCGCAGGGATATGAGTCCTGGTCATAATGTAATGAAGCGAGCTCCCAAAGTACAAACAGAGGACGGCAATGCTCAGATAGACGAACAGCCACAGCGTTGTCGAAAGCCATTCCATCCCTGCAGCTGGAAGACAGCTGTTCTGACTTGCAACACGGCACTGGCTGGAGTAATATCTCGGGACACTTTCACAAGTTGGGAAGAGAAGAGGAGATGAAAGATATCCATTAGGAAGACGCCCTTCCCTCCCACTGAAGCGTTACCTGGAGAGAAATTGATAAAACACAACTTTAACTGACCCCCCCCACCCCCCGCAGGCATTGCTGTGGCTCAATCTTTGGAGGTCACTTTGGTAAGGTTAGCTCTGCATTTCATAGAATCAGAGTTGGAAGAGACCTCATGGGCCATCCAGTCCAACCCCCTGCCAAGAAGCAGGAATATTGCATTCAAATCACCCCTGACAGATGGCCATCCAGCCTCTGTTTAAAAGCTTCCAAAGAAGAAGCGTCCACCACACTCCGGGGCAGAGAGTTCCACTGCTGAACGGCTCTCACAGTCAGGAAGTTCTTCCTCATGTTCAGATGGAATCTTCTCTTGTAGTTTGAAGCCATTGTTTCGTCCTAGTCTCCAGGGAAGCAGAAAACAAGCTTGCTCCCTCCTCCCTGTGGCTTCCTCTCACATATTTATACACGTTATCATATTCCCTCTCAGCCTTCTTTTCTTCAGGCTAAACATGCCCAGCTCCTTCAGCCTGAAGAAGCCCTATCGCCTCCTTGTTTTTCCTTTTTCTACTGACATAGAAAAGAAGCCCTTTTATTGTTTTTAATGTCCCTGGCAAGCTGAGCTCGTTTTTTGCTTTATCCTTGCGGACCTTTTCCCTACAGGTGCTGGCTATTTGTTTGAATTCTTCTCTGGTGATTTCTCCCTTTTTCCACTTCTTGTGCATGTCTCTTTTGTGTCTTAGCACAGTTAGAAGTTCTTTGGACATCCATTCTGGCTTCTTTGCACTTGTCACATATTTATACATGGCTATCATATCTCCTCTCAGCCTTCTCTTCTTCAGGCTAAACATGCCCAGCTCCTTAAGCCGCTCCTCATAGGGCTTGTTCTCCAGACCCTTGATCATTTTAGTTGCCCTCCTCTGGACACATTCCAGCTTGTCAATATCTCTCTTGAATTGTGGTGCCCAGAATTGGACACAATATTCCAGGTGTGGTCTAACCAAGGCGGAAGAGAGCATGGGGAGCATGACTTCCCTAGATCTAGACACTATGCTCCTCTTGATGCAGGCCAAAATCCCATTGGCTTTTTTTGCCGCCACATCACATTGTTGGCTCATGTTTAACTTGTTGTCCACGAGGACTCCAAGATCTTTTTCATACATACTGCTCTCGAGTCAGGCATCATCGTCCCCCATTCTGTATCTTTGCATTTCATTTTTTCTGCCAAAGTGGAGTATCTTGCATTTGTCACTGTTGAACTTCATTTTGTTAGTTTTGGCCCATCTCTCTAATCTGTCAAGATCGTTTTGAATCCTGCTCCTGTCCTCTGGAGTATTGGCTCTCCCTCCCAATTTGGTGTCGTCTGCAAACTTGATGATCCTGCCTTCTAGCCCTTCATCTAAGTCATTAATAAAGATGTTGAACAGGACCGGGCCCAGGACGGAACCCTGCGGCACTCCACTCGTCACTTCTTTCCAGGATGAAGAGGAAGCATTGGGAGAATCACCCTCTGGGTTCGTCCATTTAACCAATTACAGATCCACCTAACCATAGTTTTGCCTAGCCCACATTGGACTAGTTTGTTTGCCAGAAGGTCATGGGGGACCTTGTTGAAGGCCTTACGCTACGTCCACGGCATTCCCCGCATCTACCCAGCTTGTAACTCTATCGAAAAAAGAGATCAGATGAGTCTGGCATGACTTGTTTTTGATAAATCCATGTTGACTATTAGCAATGACCGCATTTGTTTCTAAGTGTTTGCAGACCACTTCCTTAACAATCTTTTCCAGAATCTTGCCTGGTATTGATGTGAGGCTGACCGGACGGTAGTTGTTTGGGTCATCCTTTTTTCCCTTCTTGAAGATTGGGACCACATTGGCCCTCCTCCAATCTGCTGGAACTTCTCCCGTTCTCCAAGAACTCTCAAAGATGGTTGCCAATGGTTCCGAGATGACTTCCGCTAGTTCCTTCAATACTCTTGGGTGTCGTTGATCTGGCCCTGAAAGGGGACTTGGACTCATTTAGAGCGGCCAGGTATTCCTGGACGACTTGTTTCCCAATTTGGGGTTGGATGTCCTCTAATCCCTCATCCACTCCATCTTGCTGAGGTTGAAGACTCTCTTTTTGTGAGAAGACCGAGGCAAAGAAGGCATTAAGTAGTTCTGCCTTTTCCCTATCCCCGTCAGCATTGCCCCATCTTCTCTTCGAAGAGGTCCTATCGCCTCCTTGTTTTTCCTTTTTCTACTGACATACGAAAAGAAGCCCTTTTTATTGTTTTTAATGTCCCTGGCAAGCCTGAGCTCGTTTTGTGCTTTAGCCTTGCAGACCTTTTCCCTACAGGTGTTGGCTATTTGTTTGAATTCTTCTTTGGTGCTTTCTCCCTACTTTTCTTATATTTTAACTAGCCGTCCCCTGCCAGGCGTTGCTGTGGCCCAGTTTGGGGATCTTGAAAAAAAAGTAACGAGGAAGTGTTGCTTCCTCGTTATATTGTTTACCCACAAGCAAAAAAATATATATGTAATTTTTTTTTTGCTTGTGGGTAAACAATATTTCTTGTTGTTTCTTTGTCAGCGTTGATGTAGAGATTGTCTTTGCTTCATTCCTTTTCTCTTTCCTTCTTTTTTGCTCTCCCTCCTTCTCTCCTTTCTTCCTTCTCAACCTCTTTCCTTCCTTTCCACCTTTTTTCTTCCTTCCTTCTTTCTTCCCTTCTTTCTTTCTTCCTCTTCTCTCTTCTTCTCTTCTCTTCTCTTCCTTCTTCCTTCTCTTCCTCTCTCCCTCTTTTCTTTTTCTCTCTCTCCTTTCTTTCTTTTTTTTCTTTCTTCTTTTCTTTCTTTCTTCTTTTCTCTCTTTTTTCTTCTTCTTTAAAGATCCATCCCTCCTTTGTCTTGCTTTCCATCTTTTTAGGTTACTTCACTTCATTGTAATAGTAAGTCATTCATTACTTCCTTACTTCCTCACTACGTCCTTAATTCCTCTTTCCCCTCACATCTCTCTCACTCTTTCTTTCTCTTTCTTCTTTTCTTCTTTCTTTCATTTTCCTTCCTTCCTTTCTCCTCATCTTTCTTTCTCTCTTTCCTTCTCTTTCTCCCTCTTTCTTTCTTCCTTCTTCCTCTTTCTTTCCTTCCTTCTCTCTTTTGTTTCCATTCCTTCTCCCTTTCCTTCTTTATTTCCCTCCCTCTTTCTCCCTTACTTCTTTATTTCTCTTCTGTCCTTCTTTCTTTCTCTCCTTTCTGTCTTATTCTATGATTGTCTTCCTTTTACATCTTACATAATATTTGCTCTTGCTCCATCTTTATTTCCTTTCCTTCCTTCCTATTTCATACTTCCTTCATTAATCATTATGTCCGTACTCCTTCATTCTTTCCTCGTTCTTTCCTACCTCATATCTCTCATCTTCTTTATTCTTTCTTTCTTCTCTAATCCTTTCTTCACTTCTAACTCTAGCGTATCTTACTTTGCTCTTGCTAAATCCGTCCTTATTCTTCACTCTCTTATTCTTTCCATAAATACTATACTTCTTTCATTTTTTCTTCGCTCTCTCTTTCCTTCTCCCTTTCTTCCTTCCTTTCTCTTCCATCCTTCCTTCTCTCTTCCCTTTTTTTTTCTCCCTCTTTTTCCTTTTTCCTTCTCTACCTCCTCCTCCTCTCCTCCCTTCCTTCTCTCTTTCCTTCTTCTTTCCCTCCCTCCATCCCTTCCTCTTCTTTCATTCTTTTCTTTCTTTCTTTCTCTTTTCTTTCTCTCCTTCCTTCTCCTTTCCTTCCTTCTTTCCTTTTCTTTCTTTCTCTTCTTTCTTTCTTCTTCCCTTCCTCTCTCCTTTCTTCTTTCTCTTTTTCTTTTCCTTCCTCCTTCTCTCCTTTCTTCTCTACCTCTTTCCTTCTTCCTCCTCTCCTTCCTTTCTCTACTCTTTAGTTCACTCGTTGCACCTTTGCTCTTTGATTCACATTACTTATCATTCATCCTTCTTCTTTCCCCCCTCTCCCTTTCTTCTTTCTTTATTTCCTTTCTTTCTTTCTTCCTCTTTCTTTCTTCTTTCTTTTTCTTTTCTTTCTCTTTTCTTCCTCCTCTTCCCTTCCTTCTTCTTCCTTCTCTCTTTTCCCTCTCCTTCTTCCTCCTCCCTTTCTTTCTTTCTCTTTCTTCTCTACATCTTTCCTTCCTTCCTTCCTTTCCTCTTTGCTTCCATCCTTCCTTATCTCTTTCTTTCTTTCTTTCTTTCTTTCTTTCTTTCTTTCTTTCTTTCTGACTTGTATACCGCCACTCCCAATTTGGCTCGGAGCGGTTTACAGCAGTAGATTAAAACAATACAACCAACTTTAAAATACAATAAAAACGAGAACAGACATAGTCCCGAGTTTTTCTTCCTTCCTTCCTTCCTTCCTTCCTTTCTTTCTCCCCTTCCTTCCTTCCCTCCCTCTTTCTTCCCTTTTTTCTGTATCGTGATTTAGCTTTTCATCATTTAGATTTTGGGGGTTTTTAAGTCCTTTCTGCTGTTTTTAGGGGGTTTATGAGTGATGGTCAGTCATTGGTCTGTTAGGGGTATAGTTTCCTAATTTCATGTCAATTTGTCCAGTAGTTTTTGAGTTATGTTAATCCCACAAACAAACATTACATTTTTATTTATATAGATATAGATTTCCTGATTGGTCCTCTCATAAAAACATGAGGAAAGTAGGATATCCTCCAGCACCTTTGGCTATATTTTTCCAATGAATATCTCATTGCGTCTCAACCAATTCAGCCACAAAAACTACAACTACATTCCCAGAAAGGGCTGTGCAATTAAACACTTACAAACCAGGAAGAGAAACCTTTTTCAAATGTTGTTTCATCATGTTATCACAGATAAGGAGGGACCGGATTGCAGCTTTGCTCCACTATCAGCAAAGTGAGTGTGCACTTTCGTTGCCAAGGACATCGCCTCCCATTGCAATGCACAATGAAACCTCGCCCGATTTTTCTCTCCATCTGCATTATATGGGAAACAATGTTGTCTCTATCTGCAGAAGAAATCTCCATGATGGAGAAGATGATGA